TGTCAGAGGGAGTGTAAATTTGTGGGAATTGCTTGTGTGCAATTTGTAAAATTGCATGCTTGTAGTCTTGTGTTGTAGTTTGGGTGTTCTTTTTAGATGGCAAAATAGATCTCTAAAGCCATAATTTCAGAAATAAGCTTGGCTGGAGCTACTGTGAAAAGAAGCAGAACCAGCTGGTTTTTTCCTTCACTAGTCCTAGCCCAAGATCACAGTGGATGTATTCTCCAGCTTGAGGAACTATCTAGATTACATCTTTGTTTTGTTGTGTCTTTGTACTAGAAAGAAAAGATCAGTTCACTGATAGTTTACTGCGTGGCCACACAAATGCATACGCCTGCAAAAAAAGGAGAGTGTAAGGAACGGAGGCTGCTGCTTAGCAATAATGCTGGCCCAGTTTTTTATGAGACTTCTAAGTCTAGCTGGGTTTTAATGTTAAGCTAAAACCGTGAGCATTTTGTTAAGTAAACAGGACATGTGTGGTATTGGAGAACACAGTATAAATGCTTAGGACAGCTGTGCGTACCACAGTTGATTTAGTTATTGAAGAAACTTCTATTAGTGATGTCACAAAATGAGCAGCTTAGAGTGAGAGGCACACCAGAAACAGTGCGACCGGGTAAATGTATTTTCTCCAGTTCGTGAAAGAGTATGGTGAGAAGTGATGGCTCATAGAACGTCCAACAGCCAGTTCTTGACCTACGTTCTTTAGTGTTATTTATTTTCTTCCTCTCCAATATTGCCTTACATAGTGTGCTACTCCCTGGCATGAATTTGGAAGGATTAAAAAACAATTATTTTTGCTGAAGTTTTTCTTTACTGCTGCTGTGCAACTCATGTCTCTGATTACTAATTGCTGTTAGTAGACTTGCTAAGGTTGCTTATCAAAGGTTGTGTAGATGCAGAGACCTTTTCAGTATTGCTTAGAGCAGCTTTTGGATTACTATAGGATCTATTGTGCTGAAATAATAGCCTGACAGTACAATGCATATAGTTGCTTTTCATTCTTTTTACTCCCTGCCATGCTTTAAGCTCCTTGCAGCAAAGGCTTGTTCTGGCATAGCACTGCGCACGTGGGATCGTGTATTACAGCAGGAA